TAAGACCACACATGGTATAACAGTACTGGATGTCGGCGAGGGTAACCCTAGCATTCTCTCTTTTGGCTAAGGCAATTATACCATTAATAACTCGGTAGGAGTTAATAACAAGCTGCATTGGGTTCAATTTGTAGTAATGTAGGACTTCTCAAAAAAGGGTATCAAAAGGGAGCCTAAGTCCACACTCAAGGAAGGCTACTACTGAGAAAGGCATGGAGTCGTTTGTGGGCATGATGGAGTCCTTCTCTCCAGCCAACCTAAGATGAACGTCGGCAAGGATGCAAACTCTTTCCTGAAGTATTCTAACTTAGTTGGGGTGTTTACCCTCCACCTGAACATACCCATGATGTTGGCTAGAGGGAAGAGGTGTCGAATTTCAGAATGAAGTGCTTTTTGTCTAAGGTTTAAAGAACCTCGGCAAAACTAAAACGTATGCTGGGCAAGGGTTTCTAAGGATCTAAATGGAATTTGTTTTAATTTTTTCTAGAGTTTGGAGATCTAAAGCAAATCCTAATCCTAGAGTTACTAAAACAGGAGGATTAAAGGCAAGAATCTGGAAAAAAAAAAAAAAAAAAAAAAAACAGCAGGAAAACAGAAACAAAGACGTGATTCAGACTCAAGAAGACGGGCGAGAAATCAAAGAACACTGAATAAATTTGTGTAGGTGTGCAAGGCCAAGAACAGTGGCAGAGTGGAACGAGTGTGTGTGCAATTTGTATATAAAGGTCAAGAATCAAGAACTAATTGGATAAACACAAAATTGCAATGTCAGAACATACTCAAATATGCGAATGATGAAGTTTAAATCACAGATGGAGACTGAAGAACATGAATGTGTTCATCATGGCAAGAAAACAAAGGCAACAGAATATGAACAACTAAAGAGAGAGAAAATAGTAACTCACCAAAAAAGAAAATGGAGCCGGTGTGAGATACGCCGGAGTTGAACGCAGGTGGTACGAGTAGTAAGACGGTGAATGTTTCGCCGAAGGAGACTAACGGAGTAACTGCAGAGAGCTTTGAGAAGATGATAATGGTGGTTTGGAAGAAAGAGGCTTAGAGAGAGAAAATTTGTGCAAAATCAAAGATGTAAAGTGAAAAGACAAAAAGAGGGAAAGGATTTTTGTCAAAACACGGAGAAGGCGGCAAAAAGGTATTGAATGTGCCTTGGACGACGTGCTTGTCAGACGGCACACGCAAAGGTGACGCGACTTGATGGCACGTGTCAGGTACGATTCGATAGGGAAGAGACGCGTAGCAAAAACGGTTGAAATACAGTGTATGACAGCTCATACGCGTGTTGAAACTCTTGGAGTTCTGGATTTAATGGAGCAGGACCTCAGCTAGAGGGACGATCTCGGCTGAGAAACTAGGTCATATTGCTAGGCTGAGGTTATCTACGGAGATACCGGAATCCGAGATGAGCAGATAAGTTATAAAGAGTCCTAGAATAAGAGAGAACTTCAGCCTAAATAAGGATAAAGTTCTTCGGGAGTTTGTCTTTATCTATTTGAGAGTCCTGGATAGGCATTGAGTCAGAATCCATTGAAGCTAGGCTTCTACAGAGATCAGGTCAGTGTTGGTTATAAAAGTAAGGCACCCTTGTGGGTCTAAGGTATGCTTTTTGGACTCTGAATAGTGAGTTAAACACTTTTGCTAACTTTGAGAGATAACTGACTTGATCGTTGGAGTGCCCCCGGATGGACGAACCACCACCAGAATCTTATCTTTCTATGACAGGTTATTCGGGTTTAATCTATTCTGTCGGTACTCTTTAACTGAGTACCTGTTTGACAGTATGATCGGAAATTGACACACATAGTAGGCAAACTCAACTATTACGTAGAGGTTGTTGTTTGGTTACATTAGAGAGGCCAACTACTCCACATTGAAATGCAATTATTTGGTGGTCAAAGTTTTTGCATTTTAGAGAATTGAATTGCACCTATTCCACATTTATGATAGCCCACATTTATGATAGCCCAGCCAATAGCAAGTTGTCATTTGTTGTTTGGTACGTCTAAGAAGCCAAGGCCATAAGCACAAACAAAACGATGGACACCAGAACTCTTTAAAAGCCTTGTTTAATTGGGAGGTTCTGAGAAGTTATTTTGGAATAGCAATATGTGAGACTTTCTTAAGTCAAGCTTGTTTGTAACAAAATGGTATGAAGTTGATCCTTTTATGAGAATATAAATTCTTTCTCATTGGAATTAGCATTCGAATGGGAGGGTTGGAATTGTGAATCCCCTTTGGTAGTTAAAAGATTATTTACTCTAAAAGAGCAAATTTTTATTGTATGTGACAAGGATTTTAAAATAATTTAATAAATTTAATTTTAATTAACTAATATCATTATATTATTAATTGCAATACTCATCTCACCATATTTGTTTTGTTACAGGAAAATCCTCCTTCGCTATTCTCCCGCAAGTTTAAGACAACATCCATTGCAGATCACCAAAATATCCTATTAGCCGTGCCCAAAAAATTAGCCTAGAATTGAACCTATGATCTAGAAACTAAATCCCCAAATCTTAACCACAATGCCACCTATTCACGAGTTATCTCACCATATTTATTATTTCATCTAATCTTTTTTTCTTTTTCTTTCTTTTTTTTTTTTTTACAGGAAAATCCCCTCACTCTCCCGTAGGTCTAAAGCAGCGCCCTTTACAGAGATCACCAAGGTGTCCCGTTATCCGTTCCGAGATAGAAGACTATAATCTGAGAACTTACCCCACCTCCCAAGACAAACTCCGCTTAAGTCAGGACTCGAGCAGCGGGGAGCATTGGGCCCACACCAAGTGTTGTGGTAACAACAACTTGAAACTAACCTTCTAATCAACTGCCTTACGCCCAGGAGATTGATCCAAAAAATTTTGAACTTGAGACCTAGGGTCTTAACCCCCAAGCCTTTACTAAATTGCCAAACATCCTTTACTAAGTTGTCAAACATCCTTGTGTTATTTCATCTAATCTTATTCGTGAAACAAACATGGTCTCGGATTAGTACACCAAGAGAGAGGTTGTGAAGATAAGACTAGAGCCTGAGCAAGCTGCAACAAGCCTACAGTTCTGTACACTGCAGATTGAGCAGGAGCCATCCTTCTTTAATAACTGCTGTTGCTGCATAATAATGCATGTATATTATTTTAACATTAAAACAAAATTTGAATGAAAACTCATCGGCGTAGTAGAAAATGCAATTAGATTAGTAATTTGTGGATTTTACATAACAACAATGATAAAAGAATTCTAAAGAAAGTTTTAAAAATGGGATAAAAGAAAAAAAATAAAAATATAGGCACACATATCACATTATATATAAGTTCTATTATTTGTCATATCACTAGAGCTCTCTTTAAAATTTTAAAACTAGAGTTTTCAATCTTTATTCTTTACATAATTTAATGTTTGGATAAATTACAAATATACTCCTGAAATTTGTTTAAAATATGAATTGTTTTCCATAATTTGAAAAATTACAAATATTTTCTTATTAGATATTTTTATTTAATAGAATTAATTAAAAAAGTAAAACTTCTAACTGTTCACATATACAATCATAAAATTATCTGAATTATTAATTGAAATAAAATTTTAACATTATTAAAAATTGTTTATTAACTTGATAATTTATTAATAAAAAAAACTTATTTATTATAAAATTAAAAACCTTAGAGATATAATATAATTTGTAAAATTAGAGAGAATCATTTATAATTTAAGTAATCCTAAAAGATGTGTTTATAATTTACCCTTTATGTTTACTTGACAAAAGTAAAATGGAGCTAATAATACTATAGGTCCCGTTTGCTTTCAGAGATAAAATGGAGGGGATTCATAATGAGAGGATTGTTAGTGAGGGGACCTCGTTTGGGAACAGGCTAATTTAGTAATTTTTTGGCTATTTGACTAAAATATGAGTTTAAAAAAATTAGTATGTTTGGGATGATTTTTAACTTTTTACGAAAAGATGTGCAAAAAGTTGAGAAAAAAAAAATCTTTTGACCTTTTGGTATGAGTTGTTGGCTTTTTTTATTTTTTAGTGACTTTTTAGCTAAAAAAGTCACTTGCCAAACGAGGCCAGTAAAATTGTGTTTGTTTTAATGATAGTTGTTAGTGTAGGAATTGTTAAATTATTTTTATATAAAATAATAAAACAAATAAAAAAATATAAAAAATTAAACATTAATATTTTAAAAAAAAAATTCCAATATAAAAAAAATAAAAAAGTTTCTAATCTCCTCACTATTTTTTTAATACAATCTCTACCTTCTCACTATTTTAAAAAAAAATTCCAATATATAAAAAATAAAAAAATAAAAAAATTTCTAATCCTCTTACTATTTTTTTAATATCATCTCCACCTCCTCCATCTCAATCCCCCTTCCAACCTTCATTTATATCACATCTTCTATTATAATTTCCTCCCCAACTCTACAAACAAACACAATACTAAATTCTCTCTCATCTATTTAACCCCAAAACAAACCGGCCTATAAAGACTTATGAACCTCTCCATGCTATAGAATTAGCATTTCAAATCACTTTTAAAAAGTAACAAAGTTAAGAATTATTTCAGAAGTGCAAAGTTAAGAATTATTTGAGAAGTGCTTAGATTAATATATTTTTTAATTTTTTAGAAAAAAGGTAAAATATAAATTAAATTTGAAATGATATAATAAAAAAATGATATGATTTAAAAAAAATAATTATGATCCAAATAAAATAATATACTAAAATAAGACGTGTTATTTTAACAAATACCATTCATCTTACATTCCCAACTTTTAATTCCCATCTTACATCCCCAACTTCACGGTACTATACTAATAATCTAATTATTCAATCACATCAAACTTATTCGTAATCCTAAGATCTCTCTTATTTTTTTGAAGATCAAATATGTTAGTCTCATTTTTTTTCTTTTAAATTTTTTTCTTTTTTATTTTAGGTTTCGAGCTGAAGGCAATATATATATTGAACATGCCCAATTTTAAATATTTAATTGGTTATCAAATTGAACTCAGCATGAAAACATCTCCAATAGATTAATTAAAACCACAAGAAGTAGAGACAATGAACAAAAGGAAAACATATATAATCATAAAACCCATAATTCTGACTTGTCCCCTCTCAAACACCCAACTGGTTTTGCACCTCCAAAATGGTCTTAGCAGAGTCCCTGAGCTTCCGTGCCTCCTCCTCAGTAAGATGCACATTGGTGACCCCCAAGACCCCGCTCCGGCCAAGCTGCGCCGGCAAGCTCAAAAACACATCCCCATCGGCAATGCCATAAAACCCCTTAGCAATGACTGAAACAGGGTGGATCCTCCTCTGGTCCCTGAGTATGGTTCGAGCCAGGTTGGCTACTGAGTACCCAATTGCCCATGATGTGTAGCCCTTTAGACTAATCACCTCATATGCACTTTCCACAACTTCTTTGTGAATTTTCTCTAATGTTTCCTTCTCATAGGCGATTTGCTGCCTCTCTAGGAAGCTCAACACCGGCACTCCACCGACACTGATGCTCGACCATAGCGCCACTGAGCTGTCACCGTGCTCTCCCACAATGTACGCCTACAAAAATTATACACAATCATGTAAAAATTATATTTTTGCAATTATGAATCAATGCAACGCCTACAAAAAGTAAGCTTATAAGAGTAACTCTATTTGGGCGTCTATATTCTCATTGCCTAATGCATAAAAGTAAAGGTAAATTATATTAGTAGTCCTCAATCATCACTTGTGTTATTTTTGTTTTTAGAGTTTCAATTTTAAATTTTGTATTAAAAATTGATAACCGCATTAGAATTTTTTGGCAGAAATCTTTTGTAGAATTGAATGAGAGAGCCACTAAATTACTTAGGTTTATAATTTTGCTATTAAAAAACATAACTCATGTCAGGTGCCTCTATTTACCCACCACATTTAGGGATTGTTTGAGGTATTCTAAATAAATGTACATTTTGACTTTTTGGTACAAAAAAAGTACAGGAAAAAAAGAAGTATTTTTAGAATAACTTTTTAACTTTTTACGAAAAAATATGTATTCAAATATTATATAAAATAACAAAATTACCATATTATCCCTAAATATATAATTGCCTACTAACAGTGACGGTACCGTCATGCATACTGTTGGCAGCACGATGTATAGGACCAGATTGCCTACGGTGTTATTCGGCCCGTGGAGGCCCACCACGTGTCCTGTTTTAATAATTGAAATCGTACAATGTGTAAAACTCGTCGAATACTATATGCTTGTAAAAAATCACGTTGATCGGATATCGATAGCTATGTAATCGAATTAATTTTTTGTCTACCATTATTTGTGTACTGTCCATTTTTTTTATACAAAACTGATGTAATCATATAATTATCGATATCCGATCAACGTGATTTTTTACAAACATATAGTACTAAACGAGTTTTACAAATTGAACAGTTTAGATTATCAAAACAGGACTTGTGATGGCCCCCATGGGCCGAATAACAATGTCCTGTGTATCATGAAAAGTGCATCCGGCTGTCTAATGTGCACCAGCAACATTGCAGACAGCACATCACTTCAATACACTTTTTGACTTAAATATTTTTTTTTGTAAATTTAGGCCAAGTTTGGTATCTATAAAATAATTCATCTTTTTATCTTTTTTTCTTTTTTTCATCACATCATCTATCTACTTTTCTGCACATCTTTTCGTAAAAAGACAAAAAGTACACTTATTTAGCTCATCCCAAATAACCCCTTACTTTTTTTATATTTTTTTTGTGAATAATGATAACTTTTTGACTTTTTTAGTAATGTTTTGTCCTTTTTTATGGATGCCAAACCAGCCCTTAGTCTCAAGACACACCATTAATTGATTATGTTTTTATTACAATAATGACCTTACATAAAATGACCAAAATAACAATAAAAAAATATCAATACACCCCCCACACACCACCACTCTTCGCCACTTGATTCTACATCCGGTCACCATCACCGAAACCCAGCCACCATTGCAACCCCCACAACTTCCCTACAATGCCGACAACCCCTTTCCCCTATGCAAACCCTTCTCCCTCTCCCATCAACGAACAACCCAATCTCCCACTTCGGCCATAGCTCGTTTTCTCCATCGCACAGAGAGAGAGAGAAAGAGAATCCTAGGGTTTTCAGATCTAGATCTACGGCTTGTAAGAGTTCGATCGTGCAAACCAGATTCAAAGCTTCGATCTAGGATTTCAAGCTTTGATTCGAAGCCTTGCCGCTGCAATTATCTTTGGCGAGAAGCTCCTCTCTGACGAGTTAGGGAAGATCTCTGTAGAGGGAGGGTTGTAGTGGTGAGGGTAGGTTTGGTAGTTTTTAGACAGAGAAGAAGAAGTAGGATATGAGATAGAATGGGATGGAATGGGATGAGAGGTTGTGGCGGTGATGGTGGAGAGGTGGTTGAGCCGGTAGTGGAGGGAAGAACGGGATGAAAAAGGGTTAAGAGTGGTTGGAAGTGGTAAGACGGGGAGAGTGATGGATGGAGGAGTGAGAAAGACATTAGCCGAAAAAGAAAGAGGGAGAAGCGACAGCCTGTGGCAGCGGCTAGGGCTAGGGTTAGGATTGGTGGAGTGGTTGAAGATAATAATATTTTAGGTATATTTGAAAATGGATGGTGTGTATTGAGCAAAAATAATAAAGTTAAAATTGTATTTAGTATACATTAAGTAAGTGATGTGTCTTGAAACCAAATGTGGTGTATAAATGGAGACACACCTCGTGTCATTCATATACCATTTACTATAAATAAATAAAAAAAAATGTCAACAATTGAACCAAATTAAAATAAAGTAAAGAATTTAAAATCAAAATTAATCTAATTAAAATTATATGAATCAAAATGATAAAAGAATTAAAGTATAGATTAACAGTATAATTTGCCCCAACCCCAAAATAATAATGTTGCGTCAGTCACTTTAGATATCCACTAAAGTTAAAAAAAATAACAAATAAGAAAGAATGAAACCCACTTTGATGGATTAAACCATCTCTAACCCTTCACCAAACCTACTATCAAATTTAAAATTTGGTGAAAAAAGAACTGTTTGGAGCTCCAACGGTTTTATCAAATTGATATCAAATCGAGAATTCACCAAACGTTTCACCAAAAGGATAACAGGCTCCGCATTCACCAAAACACTGGGCATGACCGTTTGGGGAGACCAACCAGTCGACCATCAAAAGGTCCAAACAGTTCCAAAAAAAGGTTAAACAGTTGAAAAAAAAAAATTTTGCCTTACCGATCGACCACTAAAAGGTTCAAATAGTTCAAAAAAAAAGAAAATTTTGGCTTAACCGATTGACCAACCTGTTATCTCGGCACAGATTTGATGAAAATTTGATAAAAATAACCGTTGGAGCACTCGGTATCAGATTGAGGAAAAAATCATTTTTTACTCAGATTTGATGAAAATTTTGATTCAGGATTAGAAATGCTCTTACATCATAAGAGCATCTCCAACCACATCCTCTTCTCAAGAGGATAAAAATAATATTTTTAATTCAAAAAGTAAATATAACGGAGGTCACTATTCATTCAAACTCCAACCATAAACCTTCATTTCTTTCATTCAAACTCCAATCAAAAAATAATTTTTGTTCATTAATAACTATTTAATTTAAAAATTTTTGTAAAATATACTTAATATTATACTCATTTTAAAGATATGATTTTATACTTTTTATTGATGTCACTTTTATAAAAATTAAATTTACACATTAAAAATTATTTTGAATATAATTAAAAAATATAGAGTGAATAGTATTTTAGAGTCTCTTCTATTTTTTCATCTTCCCTTTATATTTAGAAGATCAATTCATCCTTCTCCATTTGGAAGAAAGATATAGAAGATGGATTGGAGTTATTTTTGGGGGAGGACCCTCCATATTTGAAGATATAAAGGATGGGGATGGGTTGGAGATGCTCTAATAAAAAGTGATCGGATAGCCACAAGTATTAAATACTATTTTATAAAAACAAGTATTCCAACAACACTGCAAATTGTAATAAATTATTTAAAAAAAACAAAAATGAGATTGGTAAACTCAAACCCCAAATCCAAAAACAATGATGTGTCCTAAACAGACATTTTAGCAACAATTGTAAAATCAACATTCCATTTTATTTAATTTTTATTTTTTAAAGAGTAAAGCAGTAGAAACTTACCTGCACATCTTGAGCATTAACATCAAGATGATCAGCAATCAGAAACCTAAACCTCGAAGAATCCAGATTAGTACCCGACCCAATAACCCGATTCGAAGGAAACCCAGAAAGCTTCCAAGCAACATAAGTCAAAACATCCACCGGATTCGACACAATTAACAAGATCGTCTCCGGCGAGTGCTTCGCCAGAGGCGGAACAATCTTCGAGAACAGAGCCACGTTCCTCTGCAACAGATTCAACCTAGATTCACCCGGGTTCTGTCGGGCACCCGCGGTGACAATACAGAGATCCGACCCGGCAGTAACGGAGTAGTCGACGGAGGCGAGGATCTTGGTACGAGGAAGAAAGGCGGCGGCGTGCTGGAGATCGAGCATCTCGCCGCGGAGCTTGTTGGGAATGGCGTCGACGAGGGCGAGTGTGTCGGCTAAGTCCTGGGTCAGGATGGTCTGGGCTATGGCCATTCCCACGTTTCCGGTGCCGATTACGGAGATCTTGGTGTGTCGGTTGGTGGGTGATGGTGGAGCCATATTCTGGATTGGCTTGAAGAAGGCTTGAGCTATGTCTAGCCCTCCCGGACCCAAAGACGACGATGATTCAGTATGATGCATGCTGTGCTGACTATTCTCTGTATCACTCTCTCTCTCTCTCTAGAAGTGGTTCTTTTTTTTTTTTTCTTCTCTCTCTAAGTTTGAGGAGGTAGGGATAGGGTTACGGAGTTTATATAGGTAGAGTGGCGACGAGAATGAACTGTTCGTACATTTTCGGGATTGGTCTAAGGTCACGTTTGGAACATGTTTAAAAATTAAAAAGTTATCAAAAAATTAAAAACCTAACAAATTATATTTAAAAAAAAAGTTAAAAATTTTTGTTTTTACTTTTTGTAATTTCTTTTCTAAAATATTAAAAAATTATTTCAAACATACTAATTTTTTTATTTCATATTTTAGTTAAAAAATTAAAATTATTAAAATAATATATTTTTGGACAAATTATACTAATAGTCTCTATAGTTTGGGGCTTGTGTCATTTTAATCCCTAACTTTTTAATTATAATACATTTGACCTTAAATTTTAAATCTTATTTCAAATAAGGACAATTGAACATACAATTGCTTAATTTTAAAGATAAAATCGTTAATTTGATAAAATATAAACTAATTTGACAAAAATAAATGTTAAAAAAAATTTAAAAATTATTTCTACTTACCAAAAATAAAATTATGTAAAATTGATAAAAATTAATAAAAATTACATGATTAATTTTTAAAAATTAATTTTATATGATCATCATCTAAATGCATAATAAAAATTAATTTGATAAAAAAAAATAAATGTCTAAAAGATTTATCAATTTTATGTACTTTTATCTTTAGTAGCTAGAAATAATTTTTAAAAATTTAAAAATAATTTTTGACATTTATTTTTGTCAACTTAATTTATATTTTATCAAATTGTCGATTTTGCCCTTAAAAAATCCAATAGTATTTATAATTGTCCTTATTTGGAACAAGATTCAAAATTTATGGTCAAATATATTACAATTGAAAAATTATGGACCAAAATGACACAAATCTCAAATTATAAGGACCATTAATTTAATTCACCTATATTTTTAAACGAGACTTTAGTTGAGATATGCGTAGACATACGTGAAAAATCAAAAATAAATAAAAAGAATGGGAAAATTACACTATAGTAGACATCAAAAAAAAAATTATAAAAAAATATATTCCTCCATCTCAAAATATTAGTCACTTATTATATTTGTTACTATTTCAAAATATTAGTCTTTTTTCAAAAATTAAAGATTAAAATAATAGAAATTTTTTATTTTGCCATTCTTTTAAATTTATTAACAACAAAAAAAAAGTACAATTATGACAGTTGATATTTTTAAAAAAATGTGCTATCAAAGGGTAAAAAATGTACTATTAAAGGGTAATTTTGAAAATTTCATATTTTCAAAGTGTAATAATTATGTTACCAAAAAAAGTTAGATTTTTCAAAAAAGACTAATTTTTGGATGGAGAGAGTATATGATAAACATTAATTATTAGGGTAAACTACAAATACATCCCCTGATATTTGCTTAAAGTATAAATTGTCCCCTGTGATTTTAAAAATTACAAATACTTCCTTATTAGAATTTTTTATTTAACAGAAAATAAAATTCATAATTACTCTCTTATACAATAATTAAATTACCTAAATTATTAATTGAAACACATTTCTAATATCACTAAAAACTGTTAATTGACTTGATGATTTATTAATAAAATGAGTAATTTATTATAAAATTAAAAACCTCAAAGGGTATAATGTAATTTTTAAAATTATAGGAAACAATTTGTATTTTAATTAAATTTAAGAAATGTATTTGTAATTTATCCTAATTATTAAAATCATAAATTTTTCTAGTAATGTGTAATTATCTTTAAAAATCTCCTTTGGATAGCAATTTCCCGTTATTGAAAACTAAAAAATAATTTTTTTTTAGTAGGAGTTGAAAGTATTTTTTTTTTTTAAACTTTCAAATAATTAATTTTTTTTGTTTGTTTAAGTTATTTATGTAATAATGTGCCATAAATTCATAGGCCTTGTTTGGGATGTAGCTTTTTGACTAAAATAATCAATAAAAATAAAAATAAAAATGTTAAAGTAATTAATAAGACAAAATTCATATTCAAACCATAATTATTAGCATATTATGCGTGTTATGTACGAGAATATATAAATAACCAAAAAATAATTTTTAAATTTACATAATAATATAAAATTTATCTAAAGTATGTAGTAAAAATGATTTATAATCAATTAAATTTATTCATTTTTATTAGAGTTACACATAAGAGAAAGTTTTTATTTTGATTTTATTAATGGTGTGTTCTAAGTTTTTAATAAAAAATGCAGGTCATAATTTAATTAGTAAAATTAAATAAATAAATTGAAAAGATATATTTATGATAAAATATACATTTCAGTCTATAAGTTTCATAATTTTAATTTACCGCATGATAGTAATAAATTATATCTGCTAATATACTAATTTTTCTTTCTAATTTTGTAAAATCTAAAATTTGTCTACTCAAAATTGTAAATTGTCTTATTAAAATTAAATAAATAAATTGCAAAAGATATATTTATGATAAAATATACATTTCAGTCTATAAGTTTCATAATTTTAATTTACCACATGATAGTAATAAATTATATCTGCTAATATACTAATTTTTCTTTCTAATTTTGTAAAATCTAAAATTTGTCTACTCAAAATTGTAAATTGTCTTATGCCATAACTCTTACGTGAGAATGAATCAGAATTAACTTGTGGTGTTAGAATTATATTAAACATTAGAAGGGACCTAGAAGTTAGTCGACTCAATATTTATACCAATGTGACCTTTACCTAATCATTAAAAATTGTCTTGATTTATATCCAACTTATGAATCATTTGACCTATTAATTTATTAAATTGGTAAATAAATATTGTAAGTATTTTTTATAATAAAAAATGAACATATGAAAATATTTTATAGATATTTATTAAAAAAATTTAACTTGCTTAAAAATTTATATACTTATATTAACAATATGAAATGAATAGTTATGTATATTTATGTATGACAAAATTATCTAAGATAGTGTAGATTGCCCGAAGGACTCTCCGACATTCGCGCTCGCGAGTTCGCAGATCTCGTTTTATTCTGAGCTACTACAGTTCGGACTCAATATCACGGTTCTGAATCTGATCTCACAATGTGCGATGTGAGACCGATAAATCACCAAAGAGTCCAAATCCGACAAATCGTTTTGGAAAACTAATTTTTATAAAGAAATGCCAAACATGGACTGTTTTGCCAGATACAGAGTCGTCACCTAAATATTTTATTTTGGAGGAATTTAGGAAACCCTAACTCGTGCCTAAGGCCACGTATCTGTCATCACCAAAGTTGCCTCGGCTCGGGAACTTAGGTACGAGAGGGGAAGGTCATGCAATGAGCACCCCCGCTCACCCGATCAAAGATCGGCCTGTACTATGCATGATATGTTGTTTTTGAAAACACAAGTGTTCTTATTCCGGTTATTAATCTAGAATTACTATGTGACGCGCACAGCATACAAGTATAGACTAGATCGCCTAAGTTGGAACAAAACATTGCATATTCATTTGTAAAAATAATTTGAAGTTTGCTACTCGCAAGTAGGCTAAATCAGGGATTTTAATGAATTTTTTCAATTCAAGCAATACAACCTTTACCCACAGGCATTCATACAGTTAAACATTTAAGCAGTTAGCCTCATGGCAAGCATGCTTTCATGGCAACATTAACACACATGCAGTATGCTAAAGCATAAACACTCACAGTGTACTCCGAGCCAAAACAAAGAACTAGTTAGAAATCATGTATGATCATAGTTCATATTAAGATGGCTAATACAACACATGCAAAAATGCAACTAAAATAGACTCGGCTATCCTAGAATGGCATGTGAAATGCAACTTGATAACATGCTGTGGAACATGTATTCAAGTAAATGTATTGAAAATACAATGCAGTTAGTATAATGCGCCGAGCCCGGCGCATGCAATATAGATGAATGATGCACGCATGCAAGCATAAGGTATGCTAATTGAAACATGCCCTAAAACTAACCATCGTAAGCGGTTAAGTAAAAGGGAGAAAGAAATGAGGGTTGGAAGACATGCATCACACACACGCACGCTTATTACAACAGTGTGCCCTCTCGAAGCATGCTTTCATGGCAACATTAACACACATGCAGTATGCTAAAGCATAAACACTCACAGTGTACTCCGAGCCAAAACAAAGAACTAGTTAGAAATCATGTATGATCATAGTTCATATTAAGATGGCTAATACAACACATGCAAAAATGCAACTAAAATAGACTCGGCTATCCTAGAATGGCATGTGAAATGCAACTTGATAACATGCTGTGGAACATGTATTCAAGTAAATGTATTGAAAATACAATGCAGTTAGTATAATGCGCCGAGCCCGGCGCATGCAATATAGATGAATGATGCACGCATGCAAGCATAAGGTATGCTAATTGAAACATGCCCTAAAACTAACTATCATAAGCGGTTAGGTAAAAGGGAGAAAGAAATGAGGGTTGGAAGACATGCATCACACACACGCACGCTTATTACAATAGTGTGCCCTCTCGAGGGAGGGACCAAATAAAGAGCTAACTAATTAATCTAAGCTATTTAAACTAATTATTACAAAACAGATAAGCAGCTAACTGCATTAACTACTTAATTACAAAACTAAAGCATGAACTAGCTAAGTACATTAGCTAAGTAAAGCAGCTAAGGAAAGCAATAAAGCAATGTCCTCTGAGGGAGAAGAGTTCATGCATGCCCGGTCGCCTCGTTCGGAAATCCAACGCGATGCCCCAACTTGCCTCTGTTTGCGACTGCTCTCAGAAACTTGCACCAAGCTCCAGATAGCTTCTGACACATCTTGGGGACCTGTGTGAGGGTGGCTGACCAGTTGTTGGTGTCTGCAGCCACTTGCCGACCACTTTCTGTGCTGAAAACTAGAAAAAGTGGCCGGGTTTACTGGCCGGCCGACCAGTTGTTGCTGCCAGACTGCAATTCGCTGCAACAGAGAGCAAGAAAGGGCATGGCAATGTATTTGCAAGGTATGTGTGCACAACCACACTCCCTAT